ACCTTAAGAATGCCCCTAAGTTTAAATGTCAAAGAGGGGGAAACAAAATTTTCAGTAATACAATTATCCTGCTGTTCAAATGCCAATTCTCAAGCTAACAGCAGCTGGGATTTATTACTTTTTCATTTGCTATGCAAATCAAAGTGAAGTCATCAGAAGGAACAAAGGGAGTGAGGGGAAACGCTGTACAGAAGGTGTCATGGTCTAATCAAATGTAATCCTTTATTCAACATTTAGATGAAAAAAAAATGAGACATTCTGTCATCCAGGCTTGGAGTACATGGAAACACCAAGTAAGACAAGACAGCTCCCCTGTGAGTCTAGGAATTGAAGTAAATCTGCGTATTAGGTACGTACAAATGCTAATAAGGCCCCAATAAGTGAACGCTACCAGCATGAAGAATTCTGTTCTGAATGTGTTAAAGGAATAATAGAAAAATAGGACCAGATGGGATGATTTGGGGAAGTCATCTTTCTATTTACATGCCCTAAGGCTGGGTCAACTGCACCTAAAACTGCGGGGGGAGCAGCAAGATGAGTATCACATTTACATTGCAGTCTGCCTTCTGACCTTGTGGTATGCCATTTTCATTCCAGATCCTGAGGCTAACAACAGCCCCCAGCTCTTGGAATCTCATACAGAGCTGAACTGTTGGGCAATAAAACAGTGACAGAACCACAAGCACAGCGAAGGATGAAGTCCTCAGCCTGGGAGATGTCACTGCCCTGGTGATGGAAGGGAACGCTCAGTGCTGCAGGACCAGGTCCTTTTTGGTTGGGGCTGCACCTTTTTGATGTCAAAATCCACAAATCTGTGGGAATAAAAACTCCCGAATCTGGAGGATTTTAGCATATGAAGGGGGTTAGAAGCAAATGTTCTTGGGTTTAGAAAGAAGAGAGAAGATTTGAGAGGCAGCAGGAGAATCAAGCCCTGGGAGGGAAAGATCTTTAATGAGTGTCTGTAAGGAGAGGCCAGCATAGCAAACTATAAATCTTCTCTTTTTCATGCATTTTAGTGCCTCAAAACACAGGTCAATAATACCTGTTTAATGTATTATAGACTTTTTGCTTTGCACTTTCACGGCAGTGACAGAACCGAAAAGTCTGTCTGAGACCTCAGCAGAGGCGAGAAGGATTTCCCATAAAAAACTTTAAGTTTCTACTGTTGCATGCCAAACTACTTCTCAGTGTGTTGTCACGTTGTATGAGATGACCCTCCGCAGCAGCAAGTGGGAGCAGCACAAAAGCTGCAGGCAGTTCTCATACATTAAGCACAGAGCCACACGGAGCTGTGTAACAGCCTCTGGCAACGTCTCTCCAAGGATCTCGTGCCATTGCAAATATGATTTACGAGTGGAAAACAGAAACAGCACTGTGTTCTGCTAAGTGTTTTCTCCTGACCTTGCCTCATGTGTTTTTACCAAGCACTTGTCTAAGGTCTCCCAGGAAAGTGACCAAGCTCCTCTTTTGTTTTGGTTACCTGTTTCAAGAGAGGGTTTGGGGCAAAAAACCAGAATATTGGCCAGAAACTGAAGTCCTCCATACAGACATGGAAGAGCATCAGTTCCTCAAGGTGTTACCAGGATAGGGCATGCCTTTCTCTTCTCTCTCACTCCTCTGCCTCATTGCTTTTAGTGTGGTTTGATGACAGAGTCAAGGAGGAGAAAAATCGAGACGAATAAATGAATGGAGATCATCTGCCAATTCCATATTAGTCACTCAGCATCCCTTTAGGGGGAGTAAATGTCAGCTTCTCTGAACTTGGGTTGGGTATCATGGCTTGTATCATGCCATGCTGTAGAGAACAGGAACCTTTACCCTGCAGGTGCTGTGCCTATATGCTTATCCTTACAACATACTGGTCCTCATAATGGGCTGTGTTTCTTCTGCCTGGGGGAGCCCACAAGCTGCTGCAGAGCAAATTCCCAAAGACCTGTGGAGTACTTAATTGTGTGACTCCCCTTAGAGTTAATGGCTCTATAAATGCCTACTGTGACAGCAAAATGCGTCCTGCAGGCAGTATGAGCCTGACATGAGCATCCATTTTAAGACCTGTAGCCTCTTTCACTGTTTGTTATGGGGCTATTATTGCAACACAGCCATCATCTCAACGGTTTTCAAAGGAAATGAATTTGAGGGGATGCACTGAAGATAAAGGGAGCTGCCTATCTGGGAGCTCAGTAATAGATTAGTAAACCTCTTCATAGAAGGCAAACTACTTCCATAAAGCAGGGAGATGAAGAAGCATGCAGCGCATGGATTGCTCCATCCAGTCATGCAATTACACCTATGTCACTCTCATATCCTCAGACTCATCTTAGGTGGCAGCTAAGAAAATAAAGCACATTGAAACAAGTGAGAAAGATTGGAGCCTCGCCATCAGGCTGCAAACTGACATGTGACTGAAGTTAGCAGTGTCACACCAAAGACAGAAACTCTTAACAAGTTGACTCCCAATATCTCTCCAACACTGATTTGTTTGCTTAATGGCAGACATAATATGGGATCCTTCTATTAAAAAATAGCTGTTTACATACCCTGTCTTTGGAAAGCCAGACAGTGCTGGAAGTTACTGTCATGCTTTAATAATTGACCTGTTACAAGGAAATACCTAATTCAGCAAGCATCCCAAATGAGTGAAGAACAGCCTTTGGCAGAACAGACTTCCAGTTTTGACCACCATGTCTGACAGCCTCAAACCCAGAGGAGGGATGGCTTTTCTGACAGGGATGCTGGCTGCCAAGGCTGGAAGATGGTCAGGTGCCAATGATGTCACTTCCCCATGCAGCGTCTGAGCTGTTTGCTAACAGGAGCTTTTGATCCTGATACTTTGGCTCCCTTCCTATCGCTTCTGAGACCCCATGCCTTCTCCATCTGGAACAGGGTTCATGTTTTAGCAGTTGGCTTGCCCTGAACAAGGTGTGCTCATTTTGACATTGTCACCTCGTGGCGCTTTTTGAGTTTTCAAAGTGAATTTGTAACATCCACTGTGCTTGCTCCAAGCAGCATCTTTCACCTGAGAGTACCTGGGTGTCAGGAAGGGAGAAGGAGCGCCTTTATTGGAGCCAAGAAAACCTGGAAACTCTCTGCTCACCTCTCATTGCTCATGTTTGTTTATCCTGCCTGCTTTGCCTCTCCATCAGCAAAGTGCTGTAAAAAGACTGTGTGCAGGAGAAGGAACAAATGGGACAAAAGTCCTTCTTGCCATCTGCCAAAATAACTCTCTGCCCTTTCCAACCTGGTGTGCACAGATGGATGGCTGGACAGCCAGGGGCACAGTACAAGGGCTTCCCTTGGGTCAAACAAGGATCTATGAGGTTACTTCTCTAAGTTCATTTTCAGCAAGCTTTGTAGGGGAGGGAAGGAAAGCAAAGCTCTCTGTGCCTTTTTCAGACAGCCCCAATCGGTGATCCCAGCAGGGAGTGACCATGGCAGCCCAGCAATACAGACATCCTGGTCTCAAAGTTCTGGCTCAAAATGGGTTCAAGAGGTGCAAACAACCCCTATTCCTTCATCTGGCTGCAAACGTGGGGATCTTCTCTGCAGGTACTGTTGGTGGATGGAAATAAAACGCATTAACCATTGAAGCATCCAAAGATCAGTCCTGATATTCACACCAGCACCCACCACACCAGCACCAATGCTTTCTCTCACTGTGAACACACTATTATCTGCCACTTGTTTTATTCTTGGAACGCTGTGCTTTCTAAATGTATTTTTGGAAGAAAGCAGACATGTGAGAAACTGTCTAATAATTGGATTTATTTAGAAACGGGTCTCAAAAAAGAACGCTGCCTAAACTGGCCTGTTTTTTCCTTTGTTGAGGGCATCCTTAACCTTTAGTTAGATCAGTCCAAGCAAATCAGTCATTCGTTTGGATTGACATCATCCCTGTCCTAGAAAGCCGGAGGTGGTGCCTCTGATGGGCCTGTGTTATGTTTGAATCCCATATGGTATCAAAGCAGAATATTCCCTCAGAAGATCTTGGCAACAGGCAGAAACAAACAAAAATTAGAAAGCACCAAATTATTATTTTCCCTGAACTTTTCTGGGAATAATTTTGAATTTCAAAAATTAAAATCACAACAAATAATAAATAAGGTGATGAATATTGAAGAGGACGACCTCTTCCAAGGAAGAACAAAAATGTCAAGACTGTTTAACCCTAAACCCAATTTTCCATTCACAAAGACTTAGCCAAGATCAATTCAGCCAACATGAGTTCTACCAGAGGTGAATTCCAATGTTACAGCACATCAGCCTTCCACAGAATGCCAGGGACAAAGGTTATACAAGTAGATCCTGTAGACTTTTCTTAAGGACCATGACGCATTGTGCCATGTTACACGACTTGATGGTGTTGCTTTAAATGAGTCTTACATCCCCAAATCAGCCCCACTCCCACATTCCATTCCATCCCTGCAGTTCCATGCCCAGCCAACCCCTCATGGCACTGTCCTGCCTTTCACTTAGACACATTCATGTAATGGAGATAATATTTAAAGTTATCCTTCCCCCATGCCTATTCCTCACTCCCCTGGGTCTCTATATATCTCTTAGCTGTATGCACAGGTTTAACAAGCTCATATTTTTAATCAATGAAATCATCCACTTGTAATTAACTAGGAAACATCAGCCTTGTCAACTGACCTTTCTGTTTGATGGAACAAATATAATTACGTTGTCATTTCAGTATGGTTTAACAAACAACCAGAAAATGTTCTTTAATAAGCTGCCACAGTGAGATGGCAGCTTATGATGGTTTAAAAGAATGTTTAATCTTAGTTAATTAATACTGTCTAATCTACCAGAACTAATGAACTTTCAACTACAATAGTAGGTCGTTGCCATTGTATTCAGTGACACATAAACACTACAAGTTGCAAATTTATCAAAGCAGAAATTTCAAAGAATAAAAGTAAAATGTGACCTTTGCTAAATTTATATCTATATTAATGTTCCTCTTATAATTTCATGGTAGGATAAAGGAAAAGACTGACCTACTTACATACAGCAGAAAGTTGCCAGCGTCGGAAGCCTACGAATACAGGTAGAAAAAAAGGACTAAAATTAACAACCAGTAACACACAATTATCATTAATTACTATTTATTAAATAATCTGGGCAAGATTCCCTCTCCCACTCACAGTCCCTTAATTAGATGGCACAGCCACATCATCTGAAAGAGGAAGGAAGTGATGGAGGGAGCCGCGGAGCATCGCACCACCCTGACGGCCACCAACTTCCATTGCTCCTCATGTCACCCCTCCTTTTTCACCCTTCCCAGCCCCATGGAGAGCAGCATAGAGGGGGAAGTCACACCTTGGGTAGCAGTAGGCTGGGGCCTCACATCCTATGGGGTCCACAGAAATATTATTCCTGATGTGAGAACGCACAGAGCCCCTTCCTGCAAGGTGTATTTGTGTCTGGAAGGGTTGGTGAGGTATCTTCTGGGCTATTCATAAACCTAATTTTTTAAAAAACAAAGCCACTCAGGGAAAATACATTGTGTTATGCAAACCTGGATACATTTCAGTCAAAAATGATTTAAAAAAAAACAATAGTTCTTGAGAAAAGTCTCTTCCCAAGTGCTATTAAGCCTTAATAAGCAAGAAAATACATAAGAAGTTCTAGAAGACTGCAGAAGTCAAAATTTGATGCTAGCATTCAAAAGAGCAATTGTAATGTAACAAGTAACGTACAGGCTAGTTAATCTGCCCCCAGTCCTGGCAAAATAATGAGGAAGCTGATTTGGAAATCAATAAGGATTAAAAGATAGGCAAATAATTAATTCCAGTCAACAGAGTTTTATGCAAAATAAGTCATGTCAGACAAATCTGATTGCATTCTTTTATGAGCTTATAAATTTGGTGAATAAAGGTATTTGCATGGAAGCTGTAAAGATAGATTTTTGTAACTGAGACAGGCTGATGTTCTGCTACAACTTCTGCAGTAGTAATCATGAAAGATGAGAAGGAGATAATTCCTAAAATATTATAAACTGCCGTGGTTACCTGTGCCCAGATGTCCTGGTTACAGCTGGGATGTGTGTCAAGGCAGTTGTTCCCTTAACTGGGAATAACAATAATAATATTTTCTGCAGGGAAATGAAAAGGCTTTCCTTGAAAGAACTGAAGGCTGGTTTTAGTTTGGCACCCATGGGCTGTCATACAAGCAATTCCTATCATCAGACTTGTGAACTTTTAAGTACTCTTCATTACCAGCTCATGCTCACCTTGTTAACCACCACAGGAGTACAGATGTCCAGGCAAGAGGCACAAATTCAATGTAATGCCGTTCTCATTGATTTTATGTGAAATTAGGATACTTGGGACATTTCTGCTGGTTGGTTTTATGGTTATTGTACAACTTTAAAAGCAATCCTGTTCAACTGTGAGAATACTGCTCTCCTGCCACACCTGGCTTGCTCTACAAAAATAAGCTGAAGAGAAGTACATACATCACCTTGTGTGCTGGTGAGACTGGCAACAGGCTGTCTGAATATCCACACATCCATGGGAAGGTTTGTTGGTCCTCAGACACCAGCAAATTTATCCTGATATTCATTTTTTCTTCAGACCTCCCTATTAGGATGCATGTTGAGCTCTCCCTCCACTTTCCAGCTGCCAGATGGATGTAACAAAAGCCACCGAAGATAATTAAAGATAAAAAGGAATCAGGTCTCTAGGCTGAAGTAAATGAGTTGGCTTTTATTCATTCTTCTTGCCTCCTTCAAGTTCATCATTATATAAAGTATGAAGACTCAATGGCATGATCAGCTTTGATTATTTTCATCTGAATTTCTCGCAGCTCTTTTTCCTCCCTACTTCTCTTATTCGTTGTGTTATTACATCCTTAAAAGGTATTTAAAATTAATTTACAGCACTCCGTGAGCACTAGTAAAAATATTAGCTTTGGAAGAGTTATGTCAATGAGGAAAGCATGTTCATTCTTCCTTGAAGAAAGTATATTATAAAAACTGTAGTCCATAAAACAAAAGCTTACTTGCATTTTTCTGCTCTTTAAATCCATCTCTGAGCTGATGCAATGAAATTTAGCACTTAATTTATAATAAATACGCATGGAAAAAAACAAAACACCTCACCAAACAGGCATATTTACAGTGTCAGCTGGAAGAAAATTATTAGTATATCAAAAGAAATAGTCATACGTGGCAACAAATACAAAATGCTGATGAAAATTTGTATGGGAGGGAATTTTTTTGTGTTATCTTGCCATGGCAAAGCATGACACTGTAGCTGACCACTACAGGTACAATTTTTGGCATGAAAACAGGAATCAACAGCTACTCAATTTTAGCTCCCGGGTTGCAAACATCCTTTAATCATGAAAAGTATGACTTAGAGCCTTTTCTAAAGCACTGGGCTGGCCAGAAAGCAAACTTTGCATTTCACTAGAAGTGCCATTTTCTCACCATTTTAATTATTTTTTTATTAATGGGGAGCAGAACTAAGGTGCATTGTACGTGTTTGCCAAAAGGAGAATGTGACTTACAAACCTACGATCAGAGCACTGAGCTGCTGGACTCCCAACCTTCTCCTCATTTGCTCTCCCCACATTTCTTTGCTCCATTCCCCTTCCACCTAGGCTTGAAGAGGAACATCTCCTTCTCCCACTGAAAAAACATCTCTGTCTCTTCCAATGAGCTCCAGAAAATGGAATTGAAAGGGATATTAGTACAGGGTGACATTTTCCATCAGCTTGGTGGACCAGGTAGGAAAACGTATGCGAAGGACAAGCCTGTGTGCCTTGAGTTAGCCATGGGTCACCACCAGACAAAGCAGTGAAGTGCACTGAAGACCCAGAGATGATGACGTTCTCTACATCTTTGCCACCTTCTTTTCTTTCAAATGTTATAAATGCCAACAAAATACTGAAAAAGCTTCCAAAAAAAAAAACCCAATAAAAACGTGATTACTTTTGACAGCCACGATTGGAGTCAACCGAAAAGTAAAAGGCTTTAAAATAATAGAAGTGTCAGGAAAAGAAAGCCCTTGGGGTGGTCCCACAGGCACAAAAGGATCAAGGGAATAAAGAAGCACCAGGAGGGCTTGTGAGAGGAAAGAAATCCACACTAACACAGGAATGAAGCACGAGAAGGAAGAAACACAAACATAAGGCCAAATTAGTTCTGAGAAAGAATGACTGAACCACAGTTCATGTGGTCAGGATTTTCTGGGCATTTAGTAACAGAAACAGCTGTGGCCTTCCTCATCTGTGGGGCTCTGCCTCAAAGCAATGGGGTTTTAACTTAAAACAGCTGCTGGAGGCTATGGCATTGCAAAGATGGGCACCTGAGCAGGACACCAATCAGCCTGCTGACATTTTCTGTACCACTGCTTGGTGAGGGACTTCTGATGATTGACACAGAGGCCGTAGCATGAGGGTGTATGGAGAAGAAGGTACATGCTTTTCAACTTTGGGATTGCAGCTGCCCACTGAAACATTGCACTTGCTGGCTTTTAAGGCCTGAATGCTTGATCTTCACTCTGAAGTGGCACAATGTTTTACACAGGTGGGAAAGAGCTGATCTAAAGCAAAGTGAAGGCAGAAGTTACTTCCAGTATATCTGTAAACTAATGGATATTGTGACTGACTTATAAAATTGCTTTCAGCAGGCACTGCTCATGCAGTACCTTAAAACTTATCAATGCGCTAAATTCTGCCTCGAGTTCCTATTCATAGCCCAATAAAACTGTCAGAGTAAAATGTTTGCAAAAGAAAATTTCCATTGAAAGTTGTCTTCTGCCAGAGTTTTAAAAGTACAATTGTTTTATCCAAGTCCACAGCAGCAAAGGAAGTGAATGCAAATGGATTTGTAGGGAAAATATGTCAAGACTGTAATTTTCTTTCTGCGAGTAAATGGATTCCTTTTAGCAGGTGGAGAGTTCCAGCATCATTAATTAAGATGCTGCAGACATGAGAGTTGATTTTAGATTTGAGATCAGCTGCAATGTATTAGACTTGATGCCAGTGGCTGGAAATTTCAGTGGAAAGCTTTGAAACCGATCCTCTCCTTTCACTGAATTCTTTGCTTCCTGCATTTTGAAAAAGAGTAAACCCAGGTCCCAGGAAAGGAGCAACACTTTGGTCTGCCTTTAAAGCCCCGTAATTCTTTTTATTAACAGTGACAGCTGAAAACCCAGATGATAAATCAGACATCAAGAAAACAAAGAGAACATCTCTTTCACTGAACTCAAAAAGCACTTTCTTTGCTGTAGTTGTGTTCACTTGGGTGGGAGGCTGAAAAGCATTAAATCTCCACAATGGTTTTTCATTGCAATGGCCCTTCTGAAAGTTCTCGCGCAGCCTTCCCCAAGCTATATATAAGAAAGCTTATTTTATTATTATTACTTTTATTATTGAAAGAAGGTATTGAGCCAAAACAAGATTAGTCTAAACGAACCAAATTGCGTTTGCTGCACTCGGAGAAAGCGGCATCAGGAAAAGATTCCTCCACACCGAGCGCGGCTGAAACAATACCAGGAGCAAATTATATGCTTCAGTCACTGTTACAGCATTCACAGCTGTACCTTCAGAACTGCAATATATATTGCTTTCTCCCAGCTCCAAAAGCCTAGAATTTCATTTTGATTTTGCTTCAAACATCAAAGTTTACAGCCGCTAGTTAAGGGATGAAGCTGGAAAATCTGAAGCTGCAGAACAAGAGAAGAATTAAGAACTAATATGTATCCTTAAAATGCCACTTCTCTCATATTTTTTAAGCCAAATTGATGTTCCTGAGGGTTTGAGTCACAAGTTTTAATTCCTATGTTCAACAGATTTGTGGAGAATAAAAAAAAACACCGCTCTTTTTGGTCTTATTACATCTGCCAATCTTTTCTAATTGGTACCGGGTACCACACTTTCCCATTTGGCTGTAATAGCTGAGATGGAAAAGCACAAACCCACCTGTAAAGCAGCGTGGGCTGAACTCTCAGCACTCCTCAAAGCACTGAAACTGAGAACCAGGAATACTGATGCTAAATACAACTTTTATTGATTAACTCTACCTTATTACTTGAGCTACGGGCACAGATAATAAAATACCACAAGATGGGATGGGTTGCTGTAATTTAAAGACTCCAAAAACGAGACAGAAATAGAAACAACCCAGTGTGCTTCTGCCATATGCAGTCCTCATGGTGTCTGCCTCTGCACAGGGCCTCACCATCCTTTTGTGGTTAATCCAGTAGTGCTAATGCCAATAGAGATGCTCCCTGTCACAAAGATGGCACAGCTAATTAGGATCAGCGAGTTGTTAGAGTTGGAAGGAACTTCTGAAGGCCGTCTGGTCCAGCATCCCCGGGATGAACAGGGACACCCACAGCTCCATCAGGTGCTCAGAGCCACGTCCCCTGACCTTGACTGTCTCCAAGGATGGGGCACCACCACCACAGCCTCCACACAAAGTGTAACCAATGCTAAGTTGGAGGGAAGTCATCACAGCCACTGTCTTCTCCCCAGACAAGAACAGAAGGCCTTTAAAGGTCCCTTCAAACTCAAATGATTCTATGATTCTATGATAAAGGTCCCTTTCGACTCAAACAATTCTAAGACTCTATGATTTCCAATGCACCACCACTGTTTCTGAAACACTGCCCCACTATGTTACACCAAGACATCAAACAAGCAAAGCCAAGTGTTTCTTCAGGACTGCAAAGACACAGGTGCTACCCAAGCTGCTGATGGCAACACAGCAGATGGCTTCTCTCTGGGTAGGTATTTCTCAGATGCAGGGTAATGGTTATCCATTAATAACGCACCCAGTTGAGGCAATGAAAAGAATGGCAAGGGCAGATTAGCCCTGCACAGCAATCAGGTACCGAAAAAATGCAAGTCATTATTTCAGCTTGTCTAAATGCTTCTCATCTTAATAGTAATATATAGCTAGCATGTACTTTGCCTGGCTGAGGAAAATATATTTGTTTAGGCAGACCGCTAAGCTGCTGCAGTGTTGGGTCTTGGAGGCCACAGTGATTTTAATTGGGGGTGAGGAGATCTTTGCACTCAGCAGCTGCAAAGGCATTTGAGGGAAAGGTGCAATCAGTTGTACTTATCTAGCTTAAGTGCATAGGAGTTTTAGCCACCTTATTCCATAATAAGATCCGTTTCTTTTCGGTAACAATACAGCTATTATTTCTCTGTGCTTACTTTATCTCGTTGTAAAGGACTGTGTCCCTGTTGAAATACTGATAATGAGAACTTCAGAGAGAAAAAGAAAAAACAACAAATTCTTGCTCTTTCAAGCTCTCCTTATTTCTGGTGGCATTGTTCCTTCCTTTGCAATACAAGATAAAGTATTCTTAGAAACGCTATTAATGCTTCTTTTCCAGTACTTTCATATTAGCACTGTAATACTCAGAGAAAATGTAGAGCAGAGGAGAGCTGCAATATTATACCTGAATCTGCCACTGTTGTAGTTGCTCCCCAAAACTGTAGTGAAGAGAAGAAAATGATTCCCATTGATCTCACAGAAGAACAGATGGGGGTTCCCATGGAAGGCAGATAAAAAGCAGGCTTTCATTATTTCTTCAGCCTGCTCTTCTTCCCTCATTCCTTGCCAAGATCCTGTGATGTCTGTCTGTATTTTGAGAGA